AAGGCACACACAAGATGACCTTAGAAGGTTATTGACAATGTGAATACATACAACTAAACAAAACCATATCATTATATACATGTACTTCAGATCAACATCGACCGATACTAGTATTATTATCAATGCCTAAATACTCCAGGATAACCCACACTGTTTAACAGTTTGTTTTAAAGACTAAGCCCTGTAGGCATATTTAATGCCAAACATGGCATGATGATAATAATAATCAGAAGTAGAGTACAATAGATATCATGTTGTCAGTTCAGAACTTCTTAGAGGACAAATGATAAGAACATCAGAGGTCAGTCATTACAAATCATCCTCACTGACATAGTGAATCTATTGAAACTTATTCTGGATTTCTTTTGTAATATTTAAGAAACAGAAGGCACAAGATTATCATTTAAGATAATTTACAATGTGAATACATACAACTAAACAAAATCTGATCAAGACATACATGTATTTCAGATTGAACATTAACTGAAAACTCGTTATCACAAATAAGATATTTGTATATGCTGCTGTTTAACCAAAACTGCTCATTTAACAGATAGTTCTACAGACGAAGCCGTCTAGGCTTATCTAATGACAAATGTCACATGACGATAACTGCTTGTTTAACGGTTTGTTCTACAGACAAAGCCGTCGAGGCTTATTTAATGTCTAATATTGCGTGAAGATAGTAATAATCAGAAGTAGAGTACAGTACAGATATCATGTTGTCAGTTCAGAACTTCTTAGAGGACAAATGATAGGAACATCAGAGGTCAGTCATAACAAATCATCCTCACTGACCTAGTGAATCTATTGAAACTTTGATCTGGACTTTTTTTGTAATATTTAAGAAACAGAAGACATACACAAGATGACCTTAGAAGATAATTTACAACGTGAATACATATGACTAAACAAAATCTGATCAAGACATATCTCGGATCGAACATTAACTGAAAACTTATTATCACAAATAAAATATTTGTCTATGCTGCAGTTTAACCCAAACTGCTCATTTAACAGTTTGTTCTAAAGACAAAGCCGTCTAGGCTTATCTAATGCCAAATGCCACATGACGATAATAATAATCAGAAGTAGAGTACAGTACAGATATCATGTTGTCAGTTCAGAACTTCTTAGAGGACAAATGATAGGAACATCAGAGGTCAGTCATAACAAATCATCCTCACTGAAGAGAGTTAATATCTGTTTAAACTTAAATCATGACTTTTTTTGTAATATTTCAAAGAAACAGAAGGCACAAGATTTACTGATTATTTTTCAAGATAATTGACAATGTGAATACATACAACTAAACAAAATCTGATCAAGTGATACTTCAGATCAACAATAACTGAAAACTAATATTATCATCACCTATAAGATATCTATCTATGCTCCAGTATAACCCACAAGGCTCGATCAAACAGAATTGTTGTAAAGACTAAGCCCTCTAGGCGTATTTAATGCCAAATATCGCATGAGGATAATAATAATCAGAAGTGAAGTACAGTAGATATCATGTTGTCAGTTCAGAACTTCTTAGAGGACAAATGATAAGAACATCAGAGGTCAGTCATTACAAATCATCCTCACTGACATAGTGAATCTATTGAAACTTTGATCTGGACTTTTTTGTAATATTTCAATAAACATAAGGCACACACAAGATCATCTTAGAAGGTTATTGACAATGTGAATACATACAACTAAATATAATCTTATAAAGATATATTTCAGATCAACTTTAACTGAAAGCTTCTATTACATTCACATAAAAGATATTTGTTTATGCTTCTGTTTAACCTGCTTATTGAATAGTTTGTTATTAGGACGCCACTTCTAGGCCAAATGCCACACGATGATAATTATAATCAGAAGTTAAGTACAGTATGTCATATGTATATCATGTTGTCAGTTCAGCACTTCTTAGAGGACAAATGATAAGAACATCAGAGGTCAGTCATAACAAATCATCATCACCGACACAAATAAACATTAATTGCAGAAATTGACATTTTATTAAATAAGATTCACAGCACATTATGGGGGACATTTCATGAATACTAACAAACCTTAACACCAATCTTTACGGATTATCGCTACTGACAATATAAGTAATCATTTACAGATCAGAATTAGATTTACATTTTAGAAACAAAGTCTTTCTAATGCCAAAATGGTATAAATTTGGACTGAGGAAAGATGCATTTTGTTTTGCTGTACCAATCATAATCTGAAATCCTTTTGATAAAATAATGTGCATATTCAATGGCTTACCACGCAAAGAAATCAGTTTGAACTTTGGTTTGCTATTGCGTCTTTGCGTATTGCAGAGTTATCTTCTCTTGTGAGCAGGTATTGATTAATACGTCATTGGTTTGTGTGAGAAAAATTCTCAAAAATTGATGACACTACTCTTACAAAACAAATGACGTAACAAACAATACCTGCTCACAAGAGAAGATAACTCTGCAATACGCAAATACGCAATAGGCATGCTGCTGGTATTTGTTCACTTCCATTAAAGTATCTCATGATCGCTTTTTATCAGCTTTTTCAAACTTACTAAACATCAAGGAAAGCTTCCTGCTGGTCAGTTCAGCACTTCTTAGAGGATAGTAAACATAAACATCAGCAGAAGTCAGCCTTAACAGATCATCATCACTGACAGCAGAATCATGTCTGACAAAACTTAGCATGTGTTGCTACATATACTTACAGTGTAAGTTTCTACTAATACTGTTGTCTCCAGTGCCAGCTTCTGTTCCTGTTCAATGTCGTATCCTACGTAGCACAACTTCTCCTTCATCATACGCACAGTCTCAAAGTCGGCCGTGTGGTTAAATGCATACCCTCGTAGAAGTAAAAGCTACAATGCAAATCATTTCATACATCAATCATGTCCATGGAAAATAACAATTCCTGTCATAGCTTAATTTCATGAAAGTAAAACATAAATTTAGGTATTTATAAGAATAACTTAAGTGACTTGTATTAAAGCAACACCATGTTTTCTTCAAAAAAAAAAAAAAAAATATAACATACAGTAACTGGTCTGAACAGTATGCCTTTGTCAGTTCAGCACTTCTTAGAGGACAAATGATAGAAACATCAGAGGTCAGCCTAAACATATCATCATCACTGACATCAAACTTTCATTGGATCTCCAACCAGACACAGCTAATACAACATTTTAAAATATACATAGAAATGGTCTTTTTTTAAATGTACTAAATACAGTAGATGTGTACTAAATTGGTGAACTTTCAGTCATTGTCAGTAAATACCTTAATAAGGTATTTAGTTATATCACGACCAGCAATGTCCAGTCTCTTTGTTAGATGAGGTAGAGCAAATCCTTCGTATACTGGGCAAATGTGGGTCACACCGTCTCCAGAATCTACCACTACTCCTGTTAATAAACCTAAAACAAACAAGAACAGAGAACTTCTAAGAAGAAAGCTATTTGTAATTAATATTTTAAAGATGTTTTTCAAAATTGCATGTTTTTATTTATAAACAATGGGACGTGCATGTCTGAATTTCTACTGAAAAATTGTCAGTTTTAAAAGCAGGGAAATCAAAAAAAAATACATCATTCGTATGAAGTAGTCAGTGTTCGGCAAAAGTAGCCTGCTATTTCAGAATACGTACGGATCAACATTATAGCATGAGAACTTTCCACCGGTAATTGTTGGTTTATTGCAGTCTTACCTTGTGCGTACAGAGTCAATACAGCCTGGATAGCTATGTAGACACCTGCAAACTCATACTTCTCAAACATGTACTGAAACAGAAGAAATCGTGAGGGCTATGTAAAATTCTAGAAATTGAAGTTCACATTCAAGAATTCTGATTTTAAACCATCTGGAGGAATAAAGGAAATTCAGACATTTCCAGATATTTTAAAGACAGTTTTCAAAAGTGTAAAATATTGAATTATTTTGTTAGTGTGTAAACGTTAGGTATGGTAATCCTGACAAACATTACTACTTGAATATCAAGTTGGTATGACCTTGTTTAATCAAATTTTTATTTATTCGATGTAAAAATAACTGACTGTAGCTTCATATATTCAACATTAAATAAATCGTGAGATCACAGACATCCGGATCATCATCGAAGCAGGACATAAAATTGTGTACTTAATACATTTAATTCCTAAAATTTACATTTCACTAGGTTTTATAAAGCTCACCTCAATCATCTTTTCTCTGTTTTTGGTTGGATTCATGGGTGGTTCTGTAAGCAGAATCTTAGAATTTCGTGCATCCAGGTCGAGTTTCTCTGGACCAAAGGTGTAGTTGTACAGATGTTCCATATCCTCCCAGTTCCGCACCATACCATTTTCCATAGGGTAGTTCACCTCCAACATAGCACGCAGCTGACTGGCTTCATCCCCTACCATCAAGTCCTACAGAGAACAAAAACGGAAAAGTTTCATACATCAAAGAGGTCAGTATTTATAAAACATATCTTAACAAAATGCACAATATGTGCACCAAGCAACTATTTGTTAATTTTAAGCTTTTGACTTTCGGCTATGGCATTTTTCATATAAATTTACTTATTGTAGAAGTAGAACATCCCCCTGCCAATGGTATCCTACGTTAAAACTGTAACAGAATGTCATAACAACAATGTCAAAAATCAGGCAACATCAAGGGGTTAACACTAGCAGAAGTCTAGAGGCCTGAAGCCAACAGATTTTTGGAAGGACCACCTGTTTCTCTGAATTGAGCTTTCCATTGGGCCACCATGGCCAGTTTCCAATAAGTGAAATAATTCAAGTATTGTGAAACCATATTTTTTTTGATTGAAGCATGATCGAGACATTCACAATATATATACTGTAAATCAAATCCCATTTTTTTTTCTCACAACACATTACTTGGCCACTAAATTTTAAAAAGTATTACATAATGTTGGGTTAGGAGGCTGATGAGGAAAAGTAATTGTTATCGAGTCCTAAAAGCACTGACTCATTGCTTTTTATTTGATACCACCATGTGAATGTGATCGCTCAAATATTAGACAAAAAAACAACAACTTCTGTTTCAGCTATTATCCTCAGAAAAAGGGTATACATAGGTAGGCATTTTTTTTTTTTGAAAAATATTTTTACTATGCTTATATGGAGCAGGAGTTCTGATTTTTTAACAGTGCAATTCACTAAATGCCAATGAAAACTTTTGGATAGACAGGGTTAGTGGAAACACCAGATTATTTTTAGTCTGCCTTATTGTAAAAAGAATTATTTGGGCAATACGCATACCCAGCTCTAGAATCCTGTGAAAACGTTACCTTGATTTCAATGTTGTCATGTTTCTCTGCAGATCTGATGATGGGCCTTCCCACCAAAGATGGGAAGATATGAGCAGGGAAATTGGCTCCTGCAAATCCACACTTGACAAACTGAAATTGAGAAACAGTGTTTAGTCAAACATAAATTGTAGTATAACTAATTATGTATAAAAACTTCAGTTGGAGCAAATAGCAATTATATTGCAGTCAGTCAGTACATCGTGAATAACATAAATAAAACTGAAAAAAAATAAAAATAATGAAAATGTATGCACTAATTAATGAAGTCCAGTTTTACTATTAAGCAATTAGTCCAGAGTTCTTACTCTTTACTAACGGGTATGTTAAATCCAACATTATTTGAAAAAAAAAAAAAAATATATATGGTTCTTACAAATATGTCAATATGGTACCTCATTTGTTATTGTACTATTTTTTTTTAAAGTGTGTATTCTGTGATTTGCATATCGTATCACTAATATTATTTAATTGATGTATATACAAATAGTTTATAATATTAGACATCTCTGAATCTGAAATTTCATGTACTTATACCCCCCTGTTGGAGGATCCATTTCTGAGCTGTACTGTACCTGTTTACTTTCGGTGCCTGACCTTTTGCACATCACTGTGCAAATGAATATTATGTATAATTGTATTGCAGTTTTTGGGTCTAGTAGTGAAAAAGTTTATGTTTGAAAGGCATTGAAAAACGAATTAAATCCCCAGCTACATAATGTAAATTCTCCACTATTTTCATATAAACTGGGCCAATGTGATTGATTAGTTGTTATTGTTAAATAACGATAAGGGAAGGGATTGCAAAATGATTGCCCATGTGAAATTAAAGAACATAGACAATATACACAACGTGAAGCACGTTGCTTATTATTTTTATTCTGAATTTTTCAGCAGTTTTGACTCAAGGGTGCAGAAACAGGTCACCTGATGCTACCACCCCTCATCAGTTAAAAAAAGGTGCAAACCTTTATCCTTTCATTTGATCTATCATATTTAAGACCGGTAGATTTAATGGTTACACTATTAAGCACTGACTGTTATCACATCCCTCTATTCCTTAACTTATTAAAAAGCTACTGTAGACATTCATGTTTTCTATGGTAAAATGCCAGTGACTTTTCACAGTAGAGTTATTTATTCTGGCACTACTCTATGCGCAAAGTTAAGCAGAATATTTACGGATCGTAGAAACATTGTATGAATTGAAATCCGGATGAATGTTAATGGGAATAGACTATAATATCCAATATTCCAATGTCAAAAATACTTCCTGTCTAATGATTTCATCTAGCTGGTTTCTCTTCCGGGTATCTAACTGTCAAAAAAAAGCAAACTATTTGCATAAGGAGTGCTATAAGCGATCAGATTTGTAGTTAGTACAGACGAAACTTACACCGGTGCCATTATCGCAAACCACAACTTTCCGTCCCTGAGCATCCATGACCGATGATGCTGGATTTCTCTACTCTCAGTCGGTCTTTTTCAGACCATAGGAATCAACCCTACCGGAAGCTCACACCCCTAACATCAAACGAAATATCCGATTGGATGAATAATTATTTTCAGCCAATCAAAACGTCTGTAACAGCGAATTCCGGCAAACACTTGTCAAATATGGCCGATGCCGGTAGACTGACGATGAATGTGTGGCAAATGTTATTTGTCGTTTTACTTTTATTTTCCGTGACATATTGCAAGAAATCTTCAAGATCAGGTAAGGAAGACATGAAAATATTTTCTCTTAGTTTATTAACTTATTGTCATATATATGCGCATGTTTATTTTGTTCGGAAATGATACAAAAACGAACACAGCTGTTCGGATCGTATGTATACAGTACTGTGAGTACATATTGTAGTCTTCTTCCCGTTCTGGAGTTTTCTACTTTAGCGACCTCCTATGCGCAGGCCTAAGTCCACAGATTGAAAGCTTAATTGTATTTGGCTGCTACAATGCAACTTCCTCATTTGAATTTCCGAGATGGTCTTAAAAGACTGAGATATAAAAAATAACACTACTCGCGAATCGCTGTTTCTAGATTGATTAATTCCGTGACTGAGATGAAAGCTGCTGTAAAAAATAATAATAATACAACAACAATAAAAAATCAAATAAAAAAATGATAAAAATAAATAAATCAAGTAATGTCAACAATTTAAGGTCCTGTGCAAACATGAACATGGACACATTACAGAATTGTTCTTTAATACTTTATTATATTTTTTTGATATTGTAGGCGGTGCCTATAAGCAAGTAAAAATAGAAATAGATCTTGGTCCTGATGGAGCAGAAGCAAGGAGATTTACTGCAGCTGAGCTTCGAGGATATGACGGGAGAGATGTAAGATGCATCAGTAATTACCTCAAAAGCACATGATCTTAAAACCCCCACTGATACATTGTTTTAAAATCAATTGAATGATGATTAAAATACATGAAACAACACTGTCTTTAAATGACCCTGGGCCTAGTGTTGCAAGGATGTGAAACCCTGATTAAAAAACAAGAGGTCCAGAGGGCATGTATCACTCTCCTGGATCTTTTATGCTCATTAATGGTAAACATGACAATGCATATGGCTATTGGGTGGAGATTTCAGCCATTTCAAAATTATGGCCTGGAAATCTCTAGGGATAAACCAGAATCAAGGGTCCATTCATATGTGTATTCATCTCGGTATACTTAGCAATCTCTATGGCCCAAGTTAAAATGTCATTTTTTTACCCCGCCTCTCAGACCTGAGGGTCAGTCTTCTTATTAACTGGTTAAATTTATTTGAATCCCCACCACCTAAGAATGCTCCTAATCAAAATAGTTGATATCCATCACTTACGTACAGAGAAGATATTGCATGAAAAATATGCTTGATATCCATCACTTAGTTCCAGGAAAAACTTGTTTTAAGATTTTTACACATTTGATCTCTTAACCTTATGAAGGTCATTTACTGGAGGAAACTTTATGCTACTCTATCCCAGCAAGCTACAAATATCACTACCCAGGGCCTCTTGGTTATGCAGAAAAGCCTGGGCCTACTTGTGATTCAAAAGGAGTTGTTTTTAAAGTTTTTATATATTTGATGAATGTAACCCTGAAATTAGGTCAAGGTCATTTATTTGAGAAAAGTTTATAGCACCATGTTATCACCATACGTGCCTTATTCAGAATCAGTTGTTCAAAGGTTTTAACATGTTTGACCTTCAACGTAGGTCAAGTCATACATTTGAGGAAACACCATAGCACTTCTTCTCAGGTACTGTTACTGGCCAAATATCATCACACTGGGGCTCCTGGTTATTCGTAAGAAGTTGTTAAAAAGATTTATATATAATGGCCATGGTGACCTTGAAAGTAGGTCAAGATAATTTATTGAAAGATTTTTATAGCAGTCCATGCAATGTACCTGCTGGCCAAGTATCATCATCCTAGGCCTCCTGGTGTGGTTGTTCATAAGTTGTTTAAAGGTTTTTACATATTCGACCCATGTGACCTTTAAAGCACCCAGGGTACCTACTGGCCAAATATCATGACCCAAGATCCTCCAAAAAGCGAAAACATGAGAAAACAGGAAATTTCATTTCTACTTGGATGTTGTGACAAAACATACTATATAATCTGATTTAAATTTTTGCAGATTTGTTATACATTATTGTTCAGAGATAAAGGGATGACAAGATTGTGAAACAGTGATTAAATTTAGTGTTTATATCATATTTAGTGTACATAAGGAAATTGTAACGTGGATAAAGGACTGACATGCAATAGCAAACTGATATGCATATATATATATTGATTGCTTCAGGGTATTATGATACGGTATGACAGTACCGCCCGATCATGTTGCCACAGGCATCTGACTAAACACTGTGGTGATGACAACCATCTCTGACAGGATCATTAAAGCTTACCTGGCCTAAAGGGTCAATTGATCAGTTGACGTCATGAAGTGTGTCGGTTAATTGTATGTCATCTGTCTTGTTTGTCAATTTTTCCTTAAAAAGATTACTATCCCAGGATATGACTCAAAGGATTTTGACTAAATTTAGCATGGGGCCAAAATAATTTAATGTTGTATAAATGAAGGACATGTTCAGGCCCCCTTCCCTGACCCCATGGGGGTAGAGAGGCAGGTCCTAAAAAGCAAAAAGTCATATTAAAATAGCTTACTCCTTAATTAAAAGTAATACTAAGGATTTTAATCAAATTAAGCATGTAGCATCCCTGGGGCTGTGGCTCCCCTAGGGTCAGAGGGGTAGGATCCAGAATGATGGGGAAGGAAAAGGAAAATTTGGATTCATCTTTTTAAAACATTTAACATTTAGGAGTCAATAACATTTATGAATCTAAGATATTTTTGGTTAATTGATAAGGCCAATCACAACATTATATTCTCATTGAAAATATAATAAAAAGTAAATCTTAACCTTATTTTCTAAATCCCTATGATGTATGTGTAATGATGTATCATAATTCCTTATATAGATTGTATTAACATGTACCCTTTTTCAGTCATCTTGCATGAGTGAATATTTGTTTTCATTTTTCCAGTCAAGCAAGCATCTTTTGATGGCGGTGCGAGGTGTTGTGTTTGATGTGTCAGAAGGAAAAGGTATGTAATTGAAACATAACAGGAGTTGCTTCCCTTAGGCCCTTAACAATTATAAATATTGGTATACATCAAGAAATAGCAAACGTTCATATTGACTTGTATAATTGCTTTACATAGACGTTACCCTCAGTAATAGACAACCAAACGATTTAAGTTATTTTGATGATTTGATACATTAGAAAGACCTAAGTACACCATACACAACATGAACACCTCTACACATTACATACCATTACATATACTCACACACAATGATTGACTTGACAGAAAGTATGAATTAAATAAACTTTTAAAGGCTGGATCCGAAATGGTTTGAGGTTTGCATACTGGTACCCAGTTAACTCCAAGTACCATACATAGGCTACATAGAGAAAGGTTGTAATTTTATTTGATATTTTACATGACATTGTGTAAATTGTTCAAATTGTTGGATACTTTTTATTTATTTTTTTTTAAAAATCACAACATGGTTTCTCCAGCTCACCAAATTGTACTGGTAATATTTTTAGCCCCTGTGGATCAATAGTTAAAAATAATAAATGGGCTGAGGCTGATATATGCAGTGGTTCCATCAATTTGAAAATATGTTTGTTTTGTCATCAAAGTTATTAAAACTTGGAAGAGTGTATTTACATTGTGTATGATATATTGGACAACACATTCCAAGTGCTTCCTCTTACTTGGTAAGAATGCTGATGTAAATACATTTATTTAACTATAGTAATCTGAATGAACTATAGTTACATTGATATTGTTTACTTGTGAATTATATAGGTAATTGAAGTGCTGATAATGCAAAACATTTATTTTGTCAGATTTTTATGGACCAGGAGCAGGTTACCATGCCCTTGCTGGCCGTGACGCTAGTCGAGCTATAGCCCTGTGGTCACTAGAGGAGAAGGACATGGTCCATGATCTGGTATGTAAAAGCATACACCTTGTGGTTACTAGCCATCGAGGAGAGACATGCATGTTCCTTGATCTGGTATGAAAACATGTAATATATGGAGCATTAACCTTGTTTTTATATCAAAATAAGAATAAACAATGGAATGGACGCAATTTTAGTGCTAATACTGTGGAGAACATTTACTGTCTGAGTATATGTTTATATCCTGGGGTATGTAATATTTTACACCTCTGTCTTTTGCAGAAGTTACAACAGTCAAAGATAAAATTTATATCTATGTCTGTCCTGGTTCAAGAAACTTTATTTCTTGAAAACAGATTTTGATAAAACTTTGTACAAAGGTCAACCATGAGAATACCTCAGATGAGTTTGTATTTTATTGGCAAGGTCAACGTCACTTCCTGTTGATAGAATTTTTTGAATATTGACACTAAATTTGCATGGGAGCAGGGACATCAATGTCTTACTGAAAGTTTTCATAATTATGATCCTTTCTCAACAATCTCATAAACTGTCAATAGTTTCTAACTTTTATCTCTTCCTCTCTTTATGTTGATTTTTTTGTTGTATTTTTCAGAGTGGGCTGAGTGACGATTCCCTGAAGGGTTTGGATGATGTATTCATTGGTACCTACAAAAAGAAGTACCCTGTTATTGGGTACATGGACTACCTTATAGATGCATACACTGAAAAAACATTTGAAGACAGGTTCAAAGAGGATTTATAAACTCTCAAAATTACAACTTCATTATACTATGCAATTTTGTAAAGTCTAATTTTTACAGGACTAACTTGTTATGCCTTAATTTATACATATTTTCGATATATTTCAGATGCATGTACCATATTTTTAACAAGATATTATTTAATTAAAAATAACAATCTGGTTTTGGTTGTGGAATGATATTAAGTAGGTACAGAGTGTAATGATTTATTAAGTGATTTTAGGAACAGTCGGTTCTATTTTATGCAATTAGGAAAGAAGTGTACATCATGTTTAATACGTAAAATACTAATATCTCCTATAGAGTTGTATGTTCGACATATGGGATTGATGCTATAAGTGGAGTAGAACTGTATGAATTGTGTTTTTTTTTATGTATTTTATATTCTATATATAGAGGAAGTAATTGTTGTGATATTGTACATAATGACGTCCTATCCTTCCATTTGTATAAATGATCATGATGACAAATCAAAGCAAACAAAGCAACTTCGGGAGACTAGCTCAACACAGGTCACAACTTTCCTCATTTTACTATCCAAAATGTAACTGATAATTAGCTTTCAAAATAAGAAAATAATTAAGAATTGATCTTAAAGACATTTACTTTTTTTTAATTACTTCAAATATGATCCGACATAGAAAAAGCAAGAGAGAGCATTTCTTATTATATGACAGTACTTTACTTTGTTTTGGATGGGGGAGGGGGTTGTATTTGAAATGAACATTGACGAGTCTTAATGTGTCATAACAAAATAATGCATATCTACTTAATCTTCATTAAATCACATTATGTTTTCAGGATTTACTTCAAATTTACATAATCAAGATATTTGTATGGTGTTAGTGAAGTGGTTATGTACAAAATGGTTACAAGTTGTATTTTGTAAATGGTGCTGGCTCGTTGAAGTTAAACTATGTGAATGGTGCTGACCTATTTGTAAAGATTTGTTACTGCATTCCGTTAAAATATTGTGATAAAAGATTTAACATTGAACCAATTATTCTCAAGTATAAATCAAACATTGCTAAAACCAATGTGAATAAGTCATGTAGTTGCTTTTACCAGTGTGCAGTCACCTTGACCTTGAATCTCACTTTCCAGGTTTTATTTAATTGGCATTGGTACATGTGTATTAATCTTTTCTATCTTCATTTGAAGCGATGTTTTCATTTGTGAAAAGGCAGATACTTCTGTGATGGTTACTTTTTCAATACTTTTAATATTGGAGTTTGGGGAGAGAATTTTTCCATTTCAAAATATTTAAACTTTGTTAAACATAATGAATTGTACATATGTATAAACTCGCCCTTTAATAAGCCCATGCCTGGTTATAAGCCCACCTATGCAATGCAGTTCATTAGAAATGCAAACAAGTATTATTTCATTGTCCTGTAATAAGCCTACCCCCTACTTTGAGTCAGAGATTATCATTATGTGTTGCCCCCCTGGGCTTATTGCAGGATTAACAAAATACATCTTCAATATATCAGGTGCTTTAAGGATAACTGCCCAATCTTATACTTGTTGTTTTGTACCTTTAAACTTTGACCTTCAATGATCTTGATCACATGTACATCGCACACAATTTTTTTTTTTTGCTCAGTGTTTGCATTTATAGAGAACTCATATAAACTCTTTGACTAATTTGTATTTTTACACACGGTTTTTTACAATGGTGACGTACCTGCTAGAAGGGGTATAATATTAATTACTCTATCATTTTTCTACTTTTACCTATTTTGTTGATCAGTATTTGTAAATGAAATTTGTCACCAAATGTCAAAAAGGATAGCTATGATTTTTTTCTTTTACCATTCCATGGAGATTTATTGCAGGTTTCAGCAGTTGATATATATATTGTTAAATATAATACCATGTTAAGTTTTTCGTATACAGCTGGAATTTTTCGGTCCATTATATCAGCGAGTGAGTATACAGTGGTATCTCCCTAGACTCGGATGTAAACTCGTCAGGAACAAAAAAAATATTGAGTTGCAACCGACTCCTGTCACTGTGTAGTGAAATCATGGTTGAGAATCAGATGGTCTATTTAAGTATCGGGCAAATCAGGTAAAAACTTTCCTCAGAGTTATATCCAAAATTGTCATATTTTTTCCTATTTACCTATAAAATGTCACACTTCTCTCAGTTTTCATTGTAATGTGTATTAAAACTTTACAAAATCTTATTTCAAAGAAGTATATAGATCACAGTATAAACAGGGTAAAAACATATCAAAAGTGTTCAAGGATTTGTAAGGCAAATAAAAAGGATTAAATGAGGTATAAACCTCATCTGGTATTAAAGTCTAATAGATTTGTTTTTACCATAAATATTTGACTTTGTTCGAATAACAATGACTTATATAGAGAAACAACATAGTCAGGGGGCCTGTTCAAGATATCCAGGGTATTTCAGTACTCTGGTTTTAACAGAGAAAACATTTATACAATGTTTTACCTGATGCTGTGGTTTATTATTGTTTTCTATCGAAATAACAGAATATGTCAATATGCAAACATGATTTTTGAAACAAACACCCAGTTTAGTTGACATTCATGTTTATTTACTAAAACTGTCCCTGACTAAGAGAGATACCACTGTACTTCTGTATTTACAATGTAGCGCAATATAAGTCAGTTTTATTTGTCCGTCAGAAACTAAACTTGTTACATATGATAGTTTTTATGTTGGCCATGGTACTCAATAAATTTTAATAATGATGCTTTTTGTGTGCAATTCTATTTTTTTATGTTTGGTATACAAACAAAGCAAAATAAAAAATATTCAACCTTTTATTTTGACAAATTTTATTCAAAATCAGTTCCTTTATAAAACGCCTGTATCTTCATCAAACATTATAACATCATGATCTAACTGAAATGAAATCGTTTTTAAAACAGGCTCAACTAAACTTTTTAGCCAGAGCCTAATACACAACGTCTGTTCATCCATATGGATTTGTGCCCTTTAACATGTGAAAAATCTTCTGAAATCAATGTGATGATGGGTAAGCTAATTCTCAAGGAAACTAGATGCAGACTACAGGATTGAGGGACAGACAACTGACCAACCTCTTTACCCCCTAATTTTGTTGTTGGGGGTGGGGTGTGTTATAATATTTTGATTTCAGTATACAGCCGCTCTAACTTACAGTGGAGTTGGTGGGTTATTCTTTTGTACATTTAATACATATAAGGAATGTTAAAACAAATATGAACTAAAAGTTTCGTACATGTATATAATGCCTGAGGTACATTGTATAATGATGACTAGATGAATAAATGACGAGGAATGATTGTATTGACACTAAACAAGGAATTCAATTTGATAATGGCACCAAAATATTAATAAAATATCTACAAAATGTTTAACATGCATTACATACAATGGAACAAACACTTAATCTCAATACCAACAAACTCGTTTAAAAGTTTCTATGAGCAACTTTCATAAAGAAGTGTTCATTACAATGACAATCAAATTTAAAAGAAAGCATCTTTCATCCATAATATATTTTATTTATAAATAAATGATCAAATTAACTAAACTCAATTTTCCCATAGAAGTAAAAATATGTTAGTAAATTACATAATAAAATGACTGGAATCACACTAGAAAATTATAAAAATTAACAATAACAAAATCATGAATCTCATACATGTATCAATATAATGGCACTTAACTAAATACAGATACTTTCACATATTAAACCATATTAAATTACTAAATAGCAAAATTCTTTGATTAACATTGTAGAAGTTCATAACTGTATTTGTGAAATCATTGAATACTTGAAAAAGAACAAACAATACTGACATGGCTTTTGACTACTGATAGTGTTGGAGATCAGTAAATCGGTAACAATAACATTTTAAAGGGTTTCATTCCAACCAGCAAAGATTGACAAATCCATATATCTAATTGGCACTTAATGTAACTGAACATTTACCCTTTAAAAAAGAAACTTATATTCAACACTCTCACCTGAAATCAGTATTGTAATACATAAAAGCCTAAAATTAGAACAGTTGAAAAGTCATCAAGATATTTAAATTTGGCAAGAGTGAATGTACTTGTAATGGAATTTCAACTGTCGAACACTGACAAGGTCAAGTTAATTTGATATATCTGTATAATACCAGGTAATATCAAACATAAAAGTTTGGTGCTATCATATTAAATGTGTAGCAAAGAAAGGAATTTCTAAATCAAAGTTTCCTTAGTGTTTACAGTAATTCTTCTGTATAGCATTGTGTTCTTATTTCAACTGATCGTTCTAAAGCAGGGAAACATTTGAAAGTTTGATTGACACAGAAATATTTCATCAGCATCGTGGACGTCTTTGTACAAAAATATCCAGTTGAAGCACCATGTTCTGTGTAATACTTTCTATCTTTAATATACAAGGCTCCAAGTACTGTATACAAGGCTTAATATTTATGTAATTTTAAAGGTCTCGAGACTGTTCCAAAGTTATGTCCAGTTGTGGGAGTATTCAGGTCTTCCTGTTCAGACATGGATAGAGAGGTTCCGTTGTAATCATCCTGTGGACGCCCACTGATGTCAAACACAGGGTGAAACTTATGGGATGTATGATCCTCTGTGGTCTGGACAACAACTTCGGGTAACCAACATTCTCATAAGTCTGAAATGAGAAACATTGGTAATGAGTTTGCAATAAGAAGCATCAGTCATAAGCTTGATGTAACCTCTATTAACACAAAGTAAAATAGAACAAGAAGCCAAATGAGCCTTTATTGCTTACCTGTTATTCAGTACATGCAATGTACTTTCACAAATGCATCTTACAATCTCAAATCTGTAACCTTCAAAGTTGGTCAAGGTCATTCATTTTTCGAAAAATTCAGAAGATCGTTGATCTGGTTTTACTGTTTGACCTACCTGGTATGTGACCATGAATATTAGTTAGTTTTTTTTTTTTTCCAAACTTTGAATCACTGCTGCTAGCAAACTACTAGCCAAAAATTACAACTTAAGCCTTTCAGTTCCTCAGAAGAAATAGTTTTTACATTTTTTACAACCGCAACCTTGAAAGTACCCCTGGTTTGTCAAGGTTATTTTATACTTCTTAAGCTGTTTTATAGTTGAAATAATAAGGTCAAACATACACACAGCGAATGCTCACATGATCTTGGTGTCAGGTTTGCTTAAAACCACTTTGGTATTTAATCTGATTACCTGTAATGTATAATCACCCAGCTGGAAGACAAATTTTCTCTTTTCTTTTACAAGGGTACCACATAGACTGTATTTATCCCCAGAATTCTGCAAAAAGAAAAAAGAAAGAAGAAAAGTAACATTTTTCAAATATTTTAATATGAGAAGATTATATCTACAAATACAAGGTATAATCAGACACCATCACATGTTCTTATCAAGGATAGATTGACAGGAAATATCCTTAAACTTGTCACCTCTTGGGACACCTGGTTGCCTGCAGTAGTTTAGGCCTCTCATAGAGTGATCAAATTTGACCTTTGACCCTTTAAACTAAAATCTAATCGGGTGTAGAACTTGGGTGTTTCACAATTTTGGTGTATATATTGAGAGGTTCATGAGATATCTTGGAAACAAGTTTTTACAATAGTTGCACGCACAAACAACATGCAAATACCATATCCCCCACTACTACTACACTACTACTACTACTATACTACTACTACTACTGCACTACTACTACTACTATACTACTACTACTACTACACTACTACTACTATCACTACTACGATCACTACTACTACTACTACTACTACTACTACTACTACTACTGCACTACTACTACTATACTACTACTACTACTTACTACTACTACTACTACTACTGCACTACTACTACTATACTACTACTACTACTACTACTACTACTACTACTACTACTATCACTACTACGATCACTACTACTACTACTACTACTACTACTACTACTACTACTGCACTACTACTACTCTACTACACTACTACTACTATACTACTGGGAGGTGCACAATATACAGGAATAAGAACATGTTATCACCTTGAGGTAGACCGATGTCTCACGGTCTATATTACAGTACACAGGATTTGTCTGTAATAAAGTTTGCAGTGTCTGTTTTTGTGCAAAGAAGTCTGATCCAGTTTGCCGTCCTGAAACATAAAACAGTTGTAAATTGAACACTTTTTGCCTCAAACAAACCGAAAAATAAACAAGCAGAAATTTGTATTTTCTATCATTTCTCCAATATTGAAAAAAAGCCGTAATTTTTTTAAAATCTTAAGACAGTATAAAAATCAATAATTTCCCCCACTCTAGTTCTGAAAACATACACTTGGTGTACATAAACCTTGTGGAGAGGAGATAACCCTTTTGCAGAGCACATTGAGTAGATTATTGAATCCTGTGTTGAAGACATACACCTTGTGAGAGAATTTGATCAGTTGTAGAAGACATGCCCTCTGATGTAGATCATATGTAGATTTAGAAACGCACCTTGAGTATCTTTAATTCTTGTCATCCTTCTATTAGGAGATTCATCAATGTCTGAAAAATGAAAAGAGGCATTAATAAAAATGTCTTACATAGATTTTTGAAACAGGAGATGGGAAATACATGGCCAGACTTGGACTTGAACTCAGGACCGCCCCAATTTCTTAGAAAGATGCTCTAACCAATGAAGCTGCCTGGTCACTGACAGTCACACCAGTCCACTTCTGATACATTCCTCCCTCTTTAAAAAAGATCTTTAACCAAAAGACACAGGAGACCCTTAGCCCCCTAAAACATTGTTTTTGTTCTGCATCCATTCCAACAGAATTCTGGCAACAAATGAATTTAAGAATACATGTACATACCAAAATCTGGAGGAGTGATGTCGTATCGGTATGATCCCATCTCATTTTTAGACAATGATTGGCTGACTTCTTTATGATGCTGAAATCAAATTGAATCCATTTTTTAGCCAAATCCATCTTTTTGTCAAGGTGACTGAATTTCCTTAAGAGAGTTGGACATTTTGTTGATGATACATTAAAACAAGAGGCCCATGGGCCTTAACGGTCACCTGATATATTTATACAGAGAGTTGATATTTGTTTTTAACATGAACAGAAATATTATTCAAAGTGACAAAAAACAATAAAACCACCTTATTCAATATCTAGCATGCAGATATAAGACTGAAAAGTATTTGAAACTAGCACCTCTGATTCTAAACAAGGAAAATACAGAAATTTTATTTTAGCACACAGACTCCATTGGACTCCACCCTAGCCTACTGCCCTTAGGGGTAGGGATGGCTCAAAATTTAAAAAGTATCAAACTGTCAACTTAGGGTTATAATTCCAATCAAGTTAACAAAATGTAAAACCAAAACAAATTTTGCCCCCCCCCCCCCCCCTCCTTCCCCAGGGGTAAACGCGAGATCCCAGGGTCATGAAATTCATGAAATATGAAGAGTATTTGATTCTACCATATCTGGGTCTTGAGAAGAAGATTTTTAGCCCACAATCATCTGATGGTGGGCTATTCAAACCACCCTGCGTCCGTGGTCCGTGGTCCGTGGTCCGTCCGTAAACAATTCTTGTTATCGGTATTTCTCAAGAAGTACCAGAGGGATCTTTCTCAAATTTTATATGCAAGTTCCCCTTGGTCCTTAGCTGTGCAGGGCAACTTTTGAGACTGATCGGATAAACAACATGGCCGACAGGCAGCCATCTTGGATTTTGATAGTGAAAGTTTGTTAATGCTATTTCCCCGGAAGAACTAGAGGGATCTTTCTCAAATTTTATATGTAGGTTCCCCTTGGTCCTTAGCTGTGCAGGGCAACTTTTGAGACTGATCGGATAAACAACATGGCCGACAGGCAGCCATCTTGGATTTTGATAGTGAAAGTTTGTTATCGCTATTTCTCAGGAAGTACGGGAGGGATCTTTCTCAAATTTTAAATGTAGGTTCCCCTTGATCCCTCGTTGTGTATGTTATATTTTGAGACTGATCATAAAAACAAAATGGATTAAAAGAAGAACTAAACAGATCTTTCTCATATTGCAATGATCGATTCTATTTCTTTCACATTAAGTACTGTACTAGTAAATATGTGAAATGACAAACTCACTTTGAAGGTTGGCTTTCATACACATCAGTATTAAGTTTAGATCAAAAGTTACCTCAAGGTGCATTTACTGTTAACATGACTCGATCAATCAGATTAGAGGAAAGAAGAGAAAAGATCAAACTGACAAAGAACTAATGAAGATGGTACAAAGGTGGGCGCCAAAATCCCTCTGGGATCTCTTGTTGAAATTTCAGTCAATTCGACCCTTTTTGGACCCACCCATCAGTCCCTGGGGGTCAGTCAGGGCTGATATGTGCATACCATCAAACTGCTATCCAATACAGATAATGCTAACCAAAATTGAATTACTTCCAATGGCAATTAAACAAATGTTGGTCCAAAATGTGATTTCCCTATATAAACTATAGTGAAGTTACCCCCTCCCAAGGGGGAAACGTGAGACCCCAGGGTCTTGAAATTCACAATTTTGGTAAAGCACCTTAAGACCCTTCCATCTTTGAAGAGTATTTGATTCTACCATATCTGGGTCTTGAGAAAAAGATTTTTGAAATTTCAGTCAATTCAACCCTTTTTGGCCCCACCCATCAGCCCCGGGGGGTCAGTCAGGGCTGATATGTGCATACTATCAAACTGCTACCCAATACTGATAATGCTAACCTAAATTGAATTACTTTCAATGGCAATTAAACAAATGTTGGTCCAAAATGTGATTTCCCTATATAAACTATAGTAAATTCACCCCCTCCCAAGGGGGAAACGTGAGACCCCAGGGTCTTGAAATTCACAATTTTGGTAAAGCACCTTGAGACCCTTCCATCTATGAAGAGTATTTGATTCTACCATATCTGGGTCTTGAGAAAAAGATTTTTGAAATTTCAGTCAATTTTACCCTTTTTTACCCCGCCATGGCAGGTTTCTGCAAAATTTCATTGAAATTGGTTCAGGGGTTTTGGAGAAGAAGTCGAAAATGTAAATTGTTTACGGACGCACGACGGACGCCGCCGAACAAAAGGCGATCGCAATAGGTCACTTGAGACTTTGTCTCAGGTGACCTTAAATGTTGAGAAATCTACATTGTACACCAAAGTGTTTAACTTATCTTTAGCACATCAAGGGGTTATATTACATGTGTACGTTTACATACCAATAGTTTCTGTTTTTGCTTTTTGTAAATTTCCAACACCAACTCCTTCTCTGATTTAGACATAACAGATGTGACTGCCTTAGGATTGATCTTGGGTGAACTCCTACTTGGTGGCACATCTAATTGTCTTTCAGTTTTTTCTGGTAAATTCACTTGATTGTTTCTAACATTCTACCGAAAAAATACATGCAAAATTCAAATTAGCTACATGTAAGTATAATTGCTATTGCTGTTATGCATTATAAGGCTGATAACTTTAGAAGCCTCATATGTAACCCTAGTACAAATATAAATACCCAGCCTCCTCTGCCCCGCCAATATATGCAAACTGTCTTGTCGTCAGAAGCTACAATTTTGCAGCTAATGTAACACCAGACAATTTTATGCTATAACCAGCTAATGTAACACCAGAAAATGTTATACTATACCCAGCTAATGTAACACAATGTTATAGTATAACCAGCTAATGTAACACAGTGTTATACTATAACCAGCTAATGTAACCCCAGAAAATGTTATACTATAACCAGCTTATACTATAACCAGCTAATGTAACGCAATGTTATACTATAACCAGCTAATCTAACACAATGTTATACTATAAAAAGCTAATGTAACACAATGTTAAACTATAACCAGCTAATGTAACACAATGTTATACTATAACCAGCTAATGCAGGGTCATTTGAACTATACAGCATATTGCAAAAATATTGAAGATCTATTTACACTATCAGTGACCTTGATCTGCAATAAACTGTTTCAAAGCAGTCCCAAACATTCCTATCCTGTATTTTTAAGTACCCTGGTAACTGATGGAGGAATGGAACCAAACTTCTACACATAGTAACAGTGACATGACCTTTGACCAATTCATCTTTATCTCAAGACACCTCTTATATAACTAAAGGAACTGTGAGCAAGGTCACAAAGACAAGGGCCATAACACAAGGAAAAATAGTCAAATACAATTTCAAATTCCTTCCTTCCTGCAAATCTACCTGTAGTATCCTGTTCCAAGTTGCAAAAAATGCAACGAACAGTTAAGGAGGAGTTGCACTTGCAAGGTTTCTTGAGCAGAAATTTAAAGTTTCAAGGGCCATAACTCCAATAAATTCCAAGGAGTGAAATAATGCTATAAATGAAGAAAATTGCAGTATATTTATTGTTTTTAGAACAGGATTTGGACACTATGGATAATCACCATTAAGTCTTATTATGATATCATATTCATGAAGACCGAAACAGATAATGAGAAACATGTAGTATTGATACTATGATCTAGACCCTTTATGGTGTTAGCACCTCTTGCGTCTATCAGAGTGATGTACACACCTCTCACTTCTATCCTTACCTTCTGACATTCTTGCTGATGTTTGTGTCGTCTACATTGGTTCAGAAAATAATGTGGAAGGATAAAGATGATGTAGAATCCAAAAAACAGATTGAGAAACACCAGTTCACATCTAGACAGCAACTGTACAGGCTTGTGACTGTGAATACAAAAATGCTTTAAAATTGTTATATTCTCTTCATTTACTCATATAGAGAAGTATTAGAGAATACACGATACAAAATTTGATCAACCCATTCACAAAATTCTTACCAATGATAAACGAATTACAATAAGGATGTAAAAAATGCTAGGTTAGATAAGGAATACTTTAATACAATCAACACATGCTTTTTTTCCAAGCATGTGCAGAAGTTAATATGTCTGAAGTTTATGCTTTTATACAAACTAAATCACATCATTATCAACTGTTGAAAGACAGTGTTCATAATAACATTTTTAACACAATAATGGCTGATTTTCATGAACTCTTCTCTACAACAATAAAATATAGATTTTTAGCAGGGAATATTTTTGTCAGTGTAAGTATATTTAAAAGAAACTGATTTTTTTGGTTCTTATGGCTATCTAACTAGATTATGAACTTACGTGACAGGATGAACTGGTGTTCCCTCTTCATTGTGTGCTATATCAAATGCTTGGAGCTCCTGTTCATAGTAAGCATATAGGGGTGTCCCTTTGAGTAAGAGGCAAAGACCACATTGACCTACCTGTACTGGGAAGGCCAAACTAAGTAAACCTTTCACGAAACCTTTGGAGAGAAAATTGATAGAGTTAATGAGAAAATACTCCCTAATTTAAATTGCAGCATAAAACTAGACCTGTAAGCAGCAGACTAATACCACTGCATAGACAAAGATTTAGAAATCTTTGCAGTACTTGAATTTTTTGTTGACAGACAACCCGATACTGGAAAGAAAGATCAATTAAGATTTGATGAATTTATTTGAAATTAACCACTACCTTTTCACATTTTCTGGTTACTGCAGAAACAAGAAATATAAAAGGCAACTATAGATTCTTTGAATAAAAAGATTTTCGTCAATCAATGTGAACTACCTAGAATGATTAGCACCAGCAGGACAAGGAGGACAACAAATCTCTGATCATCTGGACCCGAGAAATAGCCTTGAAGTAACAATGACCGAGTTTTGGCAGAAGGGTAGACACCAATTTCTAGAGAAAAATGAGAATGGAACCCTTGACTCTGGCACTGAAATAAAAACAAACCATTTAAAATAGCAGATGTATTATATATATATATATATATAGTGGTTGTGCAAGATATCACAAAATAATAACAACAAAACAAGGATTGGTTTTATATCTTATATTGAATATTCTCATAATATTATGTAAAACGTTTTGAAAATGAACACAAAGCTGAAACTTCTTTTCATAGTCGCCATGATGGTCTCACAAATAATTTATTAAAGATGATTTCTGCATTACAAGCTAAATTTTCATCAACAATCTGAATGACTTACTGTACATTGGACCTTCTCCATACAGATACAAATCTCTCCCTCTCTGAACCAAAAAGCTCGCTCACTCACGTTTTGTATGAGGTGGTTAGACACAGACACTGGCAAAAAAAATAACACCAAACTAACCAAATGTATCATGGTAAATGGTAAAATCAATTAGAAGCCACCAACTTAATACCTGGAAGTTATGGTACTTTAATACTGAAAATAAGAGTATTACACGTATAAGTATATCAAAATGAAAACTGAAGAAAGAATAGAAATCAATCTTTGTAAAGCTTGAGTGAGCTGCAGATTCAAATAATCAGTATTAAATAGTTTGGTGAGACAATGTGGCAAAAACAGCAAAGTAGTCTTTAAAACATGCATGAAACCAAGATTTTTCAGATCACATTCTCTATACTGACCTTATACCGGTACATATTAACTGGTGTAAGTTTGGTCAATATCTGTAAACTCCATCCTTAAGTCATGTACACTAAATATTTACAATAGAGTACCCCAGTTACATTCATCATTAACCTGGCAATCAAAATATAAGAAAATCCAGAATCTTTAATGGAATTTTTGTGGTATCATTACATTAGAATTTCTATCAAACCAATCCAAAGAAATTATGGAAACATAGTTTTGACTCGGCAGATTGGGAAACTAATGTGCTGCTTGGTCTTAAGGGTGAATACTTATTTTTTACATCTTCAGTTGGGGGGAAACCTGACAAACATTAAGATCATCCAAACTCAAATGGATTCTATTTATATTATTCTTTTTCGTTTTTACAAAGTCTAATACTACTTTAAATATTTTCCGACCTGATTTGCAAAACATAATTAATACACCTTACCTAAGAATACCTGGTAAGTCTACTTAGAAGACTACAATACCTCAATTTTTACTAAAGAATCGAGCAAATGCCCACAGTGATAGGCCCTCATGTAACTAGCAAGAGCAGTCAGAGAATTCTTCTTGTAGACAATTAACACAGATTCATACTCCAAACAACCTATCATGTAAATTAACGCACCTGTGCATGTTATTATCTGGTGAGCAGTCAAATTTTTTAATTTGAAGACTGCATCAGTAGAATGGTGGGCTGGAACAGCTACCTGGGTGCTCTTGGATGTGACTTTACTTGTGTTACAGGAATGTAGTGAAACAGTGTAGGTCTCTAACAGCAGACCAGGGTTATACACAGTTATAGACAGTCTGTCCATCTTCTGCTCTCTAGTGTGAATAATCTTTGTAATCAGTGCTGATTTCCTGATCAAAAACATAATTATAAAATTCTTCATGTTACACGTACAATCAAACTTGTTATGCAGGTAACATTTGTATAGCAAATAACTATCTTCTTTAAAGGTCAGTATTTCCAGTTTCAAGGATTAAAACTAAAACATTTTTAAGATAAACAAAATACCGGTAGCCTGTTTTTATTTCTAAACATTGCTAATCTAGCCTCAAACTATCCAGATCTCCTATCAGCTAGCCAGGTTTTCAAGGGGTAGTTTGGACTTTTCTATTCTAAATTGTCCCAGTAACCCAGAAATTTCATAACCCAGCTACTTTTGCTGATAACAAAGGTGCTGGATTATCTACTGGAAATGAAGGTGGCTGGATTTGTCTACTTGGAATGAGGGTGCATGATCTTCTATGGAGAATGATAGTGGTTGGCTTATCTACTGAGAGCAAAGATGGCTGGATTAAACAATGTATTTGGAATAAAGAAGGCTGGATTATCTTCTGGAAATAAAGGTGGCTGGATTATCTACTGAGAACAAAGGTGGCTGGAATATCTACTGTCTGCTCTTAATAATTAACCATGTTCAGAATATAACATGGTTATATTGCATGCCCTCAATATTGATACTCAGCTACAATGTATAGACAAACAACATTCTAAACATATTACTCATAAACGCTTAACTACCTTGTGCGCAGTGAATAATAAAACATGGGTACCCAGACACCCATACTAACCCTTGTCTGGCTGGAAAGGTGTTGCCGACTTTGACTTGTAGGATCAGGTTAGCAGTCAATTCACCATTTGCATGGAGAGACAAAAACAAGCTGGCAGATTTCTGTAGCAGGGGTGTGCTGTTAATCTTAGCAAACCCAGACAGAAAGTATTTGGTGGGTTTCCTTTGAAGCTGTTTCTCCTAAAACACACCAAAATATAACAATAACCTATAAACAAGAGGCCCAGGGGCCTGTATCGCTCACTTGGATATCAAAGTAATCAAGGAAAAATATTCTCCAAATAAGATTCAAAGGAATGGGCCAGACCCCAAGGACAATCCTTGTATCCTATCTGTATTAGATTTTTCATGCCCAGCAATTTTATGTATGGTTATGGGGTGGGGATCTCAACTGTTTCCAAGGTGTGACTCAGAAACTAAGTTCCTAGGGTTGTGGCCAGACCCCAGGATCAATTATAATATCATGACTGCATTCGTCTCTTTATGCCCAGCATTTGTATATATAGTTTTGGGGTGGGGATCTCAACTGTTTCAAAGTTATGACCCAGAGGTTAAGTCTGCAAGAGTGGGGCAGACCCCAGCGTCAATTCTAATATCATGACTGCATTCGTCTCTTTATGCCCAACAATTGTATAAATATTTTTGGGGTGGGGATCTTAACCGTTCCAAAGTTATGACCCAGGGTTAACCCTACCATCTGTACAATTTTGAATCCCCACCAACTAGGGATGCTTCCAGTCAAACTTAGTTAAATTCCAAGCAATTGTTAAGAAGAAGAAGTTGTTTGAAAAAATTGTTGACGTACGGACGACGGACGCCACAGTATGGCATAAGATCACCTTGGTCCTTCGGACCAGGTGAGCTAATAAAGAAAGGATTAAACCTTTGTGAATAATGATGAAATAGATTAAACCTTTGTGAATAATGATAAAATAAATTAAACATTTGTGAATAATGATAAAATATCAAACAATTTACCACAACTGAAGAAAAAATAATCTTTTATGAAGAATGATAAAATCATAAAATATACCACAAATTAAATTATTATCACCATTGTGTAACTTTTGTTCCTTCCAATAACATCACAACTTGTGTTATTATGACAATGTATCAACTGCTGCACACACATGCCAACACTGCTAGTGATTTGGAATGCTTTTCTACGTGTTTTTGTCCTCTGGATAATTTGGTTGAATTACTGATGTATATCTAAAATTAATTCTCTGAACAAGATTTTTCACTGTAGAATGTCAAACTTTGCTGTTAAAACTTCCCTATATACTTACAATATCATGCAACCAAAATTCCATTGGTTGATTATTAAGACAACTGAAAAGAAATAACATCACACTGAATTAACATCATTTGGGGAATTAAATGTGTGAACTATAAATATTCTATCACATGAAGACTATCATGTTTCTGCAGTGAGTAACCTTATTTATTTTTTCGTCTTTCCTAGGTAATTACACCCAATTTGATTTCTGAGTTAACATGAATGGCATTCCATCATGACATTGTGACCTTGTATACTGAAGCTTATATTGACATCAGGTAAAATGCTGATGCTAAAGACATCATGATGGTCAGAGAAAACATATTTTCATGAATATTTGCACTCATTATTGATGGCGTAAAAAAAAAATCCTAGAGTTTCTTCGACTTCCCTAGCACTTTCTCCTCTTTAGAGGTTCATCAGGAGAACTGTTTATTCATGTTGACAGGAAAACACAACACAGAAAGTGATGACGTCACAATACAACCTACCAAAATTGATACCAAAATTAACAATGCAGTTTAACGTCAACATTTGAGGAACAACAAAGATGGTGTTACAGAAATAGATACAGATATATATAGTTACAGGCATGAGTATAGCAACAGAAACGTTCACATACATTTTCTTTATTTATTCATGCAACGATTTGTGCTGTTAGAACAATTTAAACCAGGTTTTAATACATCGATTAACATTGATTCTTTTGACTCTCGCTGTAGTGTCTTCTGTAGCTTGATATATAGGAATTACATGTAATTACATGGAACTTATCATTTGCACAAATGTATATGCTTATTAACAGTTAAAAATTTAATATAGTCTGGCAAGTTTCATACGTTGACGTATAGAATTCACAACCAGTTTGTCCAATGCATAGACAACATTCCAAGATCTACAGTTCATATCAGCTTTTACTTTAAAAAAAAATCCATTCTTGAATGTAAATTCTTCTCCTTCAACAATAATGTTACCAACACCACATCTTGGATTGTTACATTTCAACACATACATTTTGTTTAGAACCAATAAATTTAGAAGTACACAATAATCTGTTCAAATTTTTAGGTTGTCTTTAACAGTTTATGATTTTCTTTTTGCAAAGGATCTCCCCATACATTCATCTGACTTCATAAAGTTTTCATAGCTTTTAATAACTGGAAACACATTAAAGCTACATGGGTTGTATCATTTTAACTTTTAAAATTATATATATATATATATATCCAGATTTATTTATTGATATATATTATATATGTATTAATTAGATGGTGCAATCAGGATACTACACTGGATACAAAAGGCATTGTGTAATAGACATTGCCTATGGAAGCCCTATGCTATGTAAACTACTACCATCTCTGACTGAATACATACCCGGTACATACATACATATATCTTACCTCTGAGCAGGTTTCCTACATCTGTGTCTCTGGTCAACGAAGGCCTTAAAAGACACACCCACTTTATCACAGACACCACCACTGAGGGCTAAATTGTCCTCATTCAGTACCAAAAACTCAGATGCATTACCCTGTAGTAAAAGATACATTTTACTGACACTCACCAGTCAAAATCTATGTTAAACTACAAAATGTCCCAAAAAAATCACTGATTTTTAAAGTTTCATTGTAATCATGATTTGGAATAATGAAAAACGAATTTATAGATATGCTAACTATGTCATCAAATTGATTTTGTTTTACTCATGGACAAACAAATTTTTTCCTGATTCCAAATTCATTGGATATTTAAAAGGTAATATTGATCAAGTGTAACTTAATGTAGTAACTGAATGATGAAAACAAACTTGACTTTGATATTATATTGCGTTTTTAAAAAAAAAAAATGAGGTGACAATTCCAGAATTTTGCAAGGAATGATATTTTCCAATTGGAAAAGACAAACATGGGAAACTGGATGTAATTATCACTAACCTGTAATTGTAGAGGAAGTTGTTCGACTTCCAACTTCTTTTCAAGCTGTTCAGGAATTAAAATAACATTTCTTTTGTAGCCAAGTGGATCCTCATCCCTCAGTTGGTGCTGTATATTCAAGATGCTGATAGAAACCTTTATAGATGTAAAATGATCCAAATAAATTCATTAGTGAGTGACATTAATAACTGAAACAGCTTTCTGTCTAGTACATTTTTTATAAAATGCAATACATGTACTTTCATTTGAATATTTTTAGTATCCTTAATGCTATCCAGGAATTTCCAGATACCAAAATCGAATGAAGGAGATGCCTTTATTGTTTTGTTTCTAAATGTTCTGATCTTCATGTTGCCTCTTGATAGATACCTATTTCTCCCACATTTCAGACATATCTCCCGTTTTAATAATAAAAATAATTTGAGGTTCTTATAGTTATACATATACCACTTTATCACAACTTAGTTCTTAGGTCGTCTCAAAGCGGTTCACAAATTATCATCCTTGGTTATAGGGCCTTTGCAACCAGCCAATATCTTTCTCAGGTCCCTGGGGAGCATACAGTTGGTGCTGCCATTTCGGTGCTCACAGCTAGCATTCAGCAATTCTAGCACTACTCAACCACATACTCATTTACAGCTGAGTAGACTGGAACAAGCGGAGAAAAGTATCTTGCTCAAAGATACAACACAGTGCCGTGATGTGACTCGAACCTGCAACCCTTCGGTCACGAGAGGAGATAGCTTCATGCAGAATGGCACAATTTAAGTCTGTTTTAGTCATAAAAACAGTGTGACGTCACATCATCCATGTCAACAGTAGCAGACCATGGAAGACAACTCTGGATTTACGTTTGTTTACAAACATACAATGTACCAGGGTAATGTCGGTGAGTGAAACAGGATGGGAGAAAAACAATCATCCCCTACTTTGAGTGAAAGCCTCTGGTAAGACAATCAAGAATATCCTCCCTCAGGTTGGATACTTCTCTGTCATCCCCTCAAGGTAGGGGAATATTCTATTAATCTTGTAGCTACTTCTGAAAAGTATTATACCTTGCCGTCACTGGAGAGAAGGGTTGAGGTAGATGTTCCCACCACCATGCTGTCTTCTGTAACAGGTGTCAGGCCCCCTGCTCCATCTACTGTATACATCTCTACAGCTAACTCATATTCTATGGATGGCTTTTTTAACTGGTAAACATTGTACCTATGTGAACAGAATCGTAAAACTATTTATTTTACAAATACTGAAACTTTATATGATACATATACCAGAACCTTTTGTGAGTAAAATGAAAAATATTTGGGTGTTTACAATTAGATTGTATGGGTTTGTAATTTTACATTTTGCTAAACAATTATTCAACTTGCTTATCTCTAAAGCAGAATTTTTCTTACATTTATGCAAATTACATTTTTTTTCTTTTTTCTATTCCTCTTACAAAGGGGAAACAGCAAAAATTCAATGAAAATTCTTATTTCTATGTCAGTATGACAGAACAGGTTTTCATAATTTTTCACTATCTAATATAAAATATCTTTATCTCACACACATAGCACAGGTAAAGAAAAACGTGAATACCACACGGAGTCGTATCTGAGACAGTGAGTACTGGAAAGGTAGGGACTGGAACCCTGCGGAAAAGGTATGTTTATGTTACTGCAGTCCTGTCCACTGCGGATGTGGTAAGACATGTCACTGTTGTAGCCATTACAGGAACAGCAAAACCCCTGTAACATTAATAGTAGCATCTGCTGCCATCACATTTTTTCAAATATATTTAACTTTTGAAGTGAACATTTCAGAGTCAAGACTTAGTCAAGTTTATCAAATCAATCCACCACTAATCTGGTTGTCCCTTTATCCTGCTAAATCTTAGGGAACAGATTGACATAACATGTATCAGTAATGCTATCTTCTCCGTATGCAGCCACTATTGGTTGAAATGAAGGTGGCTGGATTATCACACTTGTATTCATGTATAATTTTAAGATAGACTCCTAAATCTGAAGGCCATTTCCAGGTTAAGAGATAAATGTCATATCCATGAATCATACATATGGGAAATGTTAAAATGCAAAAAGTACAAGTGGGACATTTTTCACCAAAAATTTCACTCAAAATTGTACGAAGTTTACTAAGTTTTAATGTCAGCTTCAACATAAATAATACTCTGCTAACACAAAGAATAAATCGAATGCTCTTCTCATCTTACCATTGAAAGATGAAGAAATTTAACAACTTCAAACTTATAATTAAGACTTTGAGTGAAGAACAAACAGAAAACTTATTTAACAGCAAATATCTACATCATCCTTATTAAACTTCTTGATGATTTTCACATTGGATTTAAAACGTTTCTTTACCTTGATTTTCAAACACGATTTAAAACAATTATCATCATCTACTATTATGTAACACCTTTAAGAAGAATGGGTTCCTAATTACCAATTGGTAATTAGGAACCCATTCTTCTTAAAGGTGTTACATAAAGCAATAAATCATTAGAAGTATATCATATACATGTGTGTAGCAGCAAATATTAACTAAATTTGTTACTAAGAACTACCAATTTCTGACCAACTTTCAGGTGCAAGCTTTTATATACATACCGATTTACCTACATATATGATACACTCAGTCTGTCATTTTGCAAACAGACCATTCTATTTAAATTCTAAATTCTTAACCAAACACTAATAAAACCAATTTACCTTGTTTGTGTCAGACCCTTGTCCAGGTACTTTCCCACACATTTCAGAGATGGAACTTTCCTTACAACCATGATAGTTTTTTGTGTTGTCCTTGTGAAAGAAAACTTCGTAAGCTTTGTTGTTAACTCTCTATTTGAAGAAAGAAAAGAATATATAGACAAACCACTGTTGCCAAAGATGTACATATAGCAACTCAAAATATACTGGCGCATATAATGATATTTGTATACTGATCTTTCCTGATTTTTTTGATTTTTTTTGGTAACTTCTAAAAAAAGTTATGATTTAAAATCTGGGCCATGTTGATCAAACGTTATTAGTTTAATCCCTGCTGAACATGATATTTCAACATAGATGTTCAAAAGGTTTGTAACAGGTCATTATTTTTTCAATGCCTCCGCAAGGAGTCGAACCCGGGACCTCTGGCTTACTAGTCTAACACTCTACCGAATGAGCTCAAGAGAAATACTCACTAGCCAAGATGGAAGGAAGCAGCTAGTATTTTACCAAGGTGACATACTCCCTCTCCAGGAAAGACTCATCCCAAGTTTATCCTGGGGTCAAAGCGATTCTTGTGAAAGAACCGCTGAGTATATATATTTGTCAATATTATCCGGTGGTCCCTACGTGGGCGCCAATGTAACAAGGTAATTATTTTTTCAATGCCTCTGCTAGGAGTCAAACCCGGGACCTCTGACTTGCTAGTCTAACGCTTTACAGTATGAGCTCAAGAGACATTCTACCTAGCCGAGACGGTAAGAAGCGGCTAGTATTTTACCAGGTTGACAGGTTATTAGCTTAATCCCTGCTGAACAACATATTTCAACATCTAATAATTTGATCAATATACAAGGTGAAACTCATGATTTTGCATGTAATTTTACTCTACTAAATATCTGCAATGGAAATTTTTACTCATTTAAAGGATGTGTTAAATATATGCAAGAATAAACTTTGTGCTAATCACTGATTAAGCTTATCAACTTTTGAACAACTGGGCCCCTGTGCTGTAATTGCTTGTCAGATTATTGACCTTCAATAGGTGACCTTCACCTGTAAATGATGGTTCTTAAAATGAAAAGGATTCCCTTACATCATCTAGTTTATGTGGTGCATATTTCACAATTTTTCATTGAAAGAGCATGTGCAACTTGGTCCATGTTGTGAATCAGCTGAAAACTTTGAACTCACTCTGTGACCTTGACTTTCGTACAACGTCATGTAAAAGCTATGATGTACACAAGTATATCACTCAGTGATGATGTCTAAATATAAACACCAATTGTTTAGTTTCGCTAAAATGTTCTTTAGGAGTGTGGCGGAGCTGGAATAGGTCAGTCATTGGCGACTAAGTTGCTCAATTGGTAGAGCGTCCGTCTAGAGTCCAGAGGGTTCCAGGTTCTGGCTGTGCATTGTACCCAGGAGTATCAGAAGCATTGTTTGAAGTTTGGACTTCAATGACATTGTGACCTTGACACCAGAATAAAGATCTTAACACAAAAGATACATAGAACAATGACAATATTACATGTATATTATATAAAGCCTCATAAAAAAGGAAATTAAAATGAACATCAATGATTTTTCCAACGGTCAACCTATGCCAATATAGAAATTGTATAGAAACTGTTTTGATGTGCAACTGAAATCCATGGACTTGATGTTAATCTGCATAACCACACTAACTAATGAACACACTGACCTGTATGTACTTCAGTGGGTACAGTAGTTTTGTATTCTTTAGACGCACATGTATCAATAACGGATTTAAAAGTTTCACGTCTTCTCCATCGTCTGGGCTGTAGGCCTCATTTACAGTAACAAATTGTGATTTCTTCTGCATCTAAAGAAACAAAAAAGAAATACATAATCACATTAAGTACTACCGGCATAAATGGATCATAAGATATTATTGAGGATTGAAGTGGTGGCTGTGTTGGTAGGAGGGGAAATAAATGCCTTCATGATATCTTATGCTAAATCTCTCAGCCATAAGTTGCAATATAGTTTTCAATTTAATTACTGTTAAAAGCATGAGGTGTTTAGAAAAAGTATGCTTTAGTGTCTGCTTGGTTCATGTAATCCTCTTTATCACTTTCCACAGGTGAGAATTTCGAAAGTGTCATATTGATTAGGCAGAGTTAAGGTGTCACCAGAGAACATGAACCAGCTAGGATACAGTGTTGTCAGGTCATAAACAGTAGTTTAATAGAGGAGCTGAGAGAAGGTTTTAGTTCAAATCAGATTGGTTATACCTATATATCATGCATGCAAAAATAAGAAAAAAACCATCTTTGTCAATAATTCAAGATAGCAATTTGACTCGTTTCTTTCATTATATTTTGAAAAAATTCTCCCCAAAAATTCTCTTCATGCATGTTTGTGTTTCAGTTTCTATACTTTTGTAGAATACGTTACATTATTATAAATCTCACCGCTTTCACTGATGTCTTCAATATAATGTCTATCCCTTCTTGACAAGAAGCTTCCAAACCATCTCCTAGCTGAGATGTTTTTATACTGCATGGGTGAATCACTGCCTGTACAATGCCTAGTGTTGCTGTGGTTACTCCTGCATTTAATAGGAGGGCACATCCCAGTAAACAGGACAATGTGCACAATAAAATACCATGAAACATCTGAAACAGAAAACAGTCAAATGCAGCATTCTTTGAATTAAAAAGATAGCATTCACTAGTTTGAGTAGTTTCACCATATGGATAGTAAGTAGGATTATCTATGTACTTTACAAACATTTTTCACGTAATGATGGGCCTACTACCAGTAATCACTGATTGGCTATGTATTACATTATGTAAACATTACAATTTTGGACTATAGTACAACCTCAACTAACCTGAGTGATGTCACGGACAGATAAATATACAGATGTCGTATCAGTCTACTGACACAAGTTTACCTTTGGTAATGTTACTGTTGTCAAAATCATTTGCTTAATGCCGCAAGCTTTGTTTATTGTAAATAATTGGTACAGTTTATTTACATTCCTCTTGTCGCTGAATGAGTACTCTAGAGGTACACAGTACACAGGGACAAGGCAACTAAGACACTATATACTATAGTGCAGTAATATCTGATGTGATAAATAAGCGTACAAACGTTATAAGTGAAATAATATTTAAGTTTCAGAAACTGTAATAAACAACTTTAAAATTGCAATCAATTTGATTGTTTATATCGACGATAGATCCTTCACACAAGACAAAAATCAAATGTCTCCATAGATATCATAGAATGTGTTCATCAGTTCATAGATCTTCTGCATGTCATGTCCCTGTAACAGACAGTACAATAGTTTACAATGTTTCTGTTGATTTGTACAATTAATTCCTCTTCCAGTGAAAAGGACAAAGTGATAATACACACATAATGAAATAATATAAAACAATATGTCAAAATAATACGCTTACAAGGATGTGATAAATGCTGCGGAAACTGAGACCGGGAAATGCAGACGAACTTTCATAGGTGGCGCTACGTAATTTCCCGGGTGCATTCGCTTGAGCAGATCACACTTCACCTATAAATCAATATAGGATTTGAATTGGACTGTGTGTTCATATAGCAGACTATATGAACACACAGTCCAATTCAAATCCTTATAGACTACATACAAGTTTTATGAAAAGTTTTATTTTGGAAAAAATATGAGAAAAAATAGAGTTGTAAGCCACAGGCTCATTATCGAACCCTTTTTTCCTGGCATTTTCTTTGATTCCAACACAAAACTGAGGTTAGACATTCAGCATGAATTGAGTTTCTACTAGTGCACGTTGGAAGCCATGGACCCTCTCATCCGGACCCGATGAAAAATAATTTTGGGCATAGATTGCAATATTATATTTGGAGCTGTTGGTATAAGTACGACTTGTGTAACATAAGCATGCACACTTTTACATTTAAACACCTATATTACATGCAAATTAGTGAAATGTTTGAAGTTGGCGAAACTACCTGCACCTTTGAGCAAAATCACTGAAGGCCTGATGACGTCAGATATGTTGCTGGGTGACGTCATTCAGGCGATTTTACAACAATTTTTATTTTTAGGAATTTTAGTAAAATCTTCTTCTGTACTGGTGCTCCTCGGCATTTTGATACATGCGTATTTGGACGAATCATTAAATGAAACCCTTATTAATTGGACGAATTTGCCTGCACTGACGTTAACACTTTATAATGAGAAAATGCCTATAATGCAGAAAAGTCAATGTTAAAACGCGTCATTGGTAATTGATTCATATTCTGGTGTGCGAAATACATGAAGTGATTAAAGTTTATAACTAAAAATAAAAGCACTCTTTCCGTTGCAACTAAGTCTTTCCCCAGGTGACATCACGTATAGCACATCGGTCGTGTCTCCAACATGTACATTATCTGCACTACAGTAATACTATAATAATAATATAATATAGCGCCCTATATAATTTGTAAAATTACTCTATAGCGCTTTACAACATATGGATAATAGTAAGACTTACAATCACTTTCATACATTTAACAAGCAATGTGCACATAATTGAACAAATAAAAGGGTGGAACTTACATAACTTACATGACGTCTTTGCAAAGATTCTACAGGCGCGGATTT